AACACACCTCACATAAATGGGAACATAACACACCTCACATAAATGGGAACATAACACACCTCATATAAATGGAAACATAACACACCTCACATAAATGGGAACATAACACACCTCACATAAAAAAAAAAAAAACCATTACCAGATTAGCAGCGAAGGAGATCTGTGACAGGCGAGTGATGAGAGTGGTTGACGGGGCACTGGCCTGTTCCCGCAGCATGTTGATGCGAGAGTCTGAGGCCAAGTTCTCGTAGGACGCGATCAGCTCATCCTGTCGCTTGTAGTACGTTCTGACGGGGAACATATCAAACATCGTACGTTCTGACATATCAAACGTCATACGATCTGACGGGGAACATATCAAATGTCATACATTCTGACATATCAAACATCATACGTTCTGTCTGGGAACATATCAAACATCATACGTTCCGAGTGTGCAAACACAATAAAATATACAGTTCCGAGTGCGCAGTCATTTCTTAAACCAAGACAAAGAGAGAAAGAAAGAAATATGTAAATATTTTAAAAGGAAAGACAAACGGTCGCCTTTAAGGACAAGCGGGCTAACCCAGATTTCGGGGGTTTCCAGAAATCTTGACCTACACCAAAAGTGGGTGTTGCCCTACTTATAGGAGAAGTTTGGTTTCATTGGTGCATAGATCGAGATGTGTCACGACGCGGTGGAATCAGGCGCTCGTCAATTTTTGGTCATGTGGAGTTATCGGTATCATCTGAAAGCTGATTTGATTGCCTTCCTACCAATGAAATAAATGTCCCATTTATCCTGAACAGAACTCAAGATATTTGCGATGGAAGGAAGTGAGGTCGCCTGGTTTCAGAGGTGAAATTAGCGAGAAAATGGCCGCCAAAGTTTGGTAACTCCAATAGCTAAAGAGTCTTTGAAAACAGAAAAATGACATTTTTTTGCCTTTAATCAATGTTTTTCAGTAAAATTCATCAGGAAATGTGTTTTTATATGGACATAAAAGAGGTTGAACCAAAAAATAGGAGTTCAATAAAAATGTCCAAACTGGTGGAAACAAGATTGTTTCCCCAATCTCTGTATTTTGACGAGCGCCGGATTTCATCACACTGTCTCACATATTTGTTGGGTTGTATAGAGAAAACTTTCCTTGTCTTTTAAAGAAACTGAACACGGCTCCAAAACCTTTACCTTTTGATAGCCCCCTTGTGCTTAAAGGCAACCAAATATTTGGTCATTTCTTGGGCAAAGAGACAGAGAGTCGGGAGAGAAGTAAACAATAGAAACACAGTTAGACTGACAACACTGTTCTACTGTCGCTCACACATTTACAACCACATTGCTCTTCAGAATTCTCTGCCCAGGGCACACCGTTAGCCTAGTCAGTCAGTATTGTGTAGTCAGTATTGTGTAGTCAGTATTGTGTAGTCAGTATTGTGTAGTATTGTGTAGTCAGTATTGTGTAGTCAGTATTGTGTAGTCAGTATTGTGTAGTCAATATTGTGTAGTCAGTATTGTGTAGTCAGTATTGTGTAGTATTGTGTAGTCAGTATTGTGTAGTCAGTATTGTGTAGTCAGTATTGTGTAGTATTGTGTAGTCAGTATTGTGTAGTCAATATTGTGTAGTCAGTATTGTGTAGTCAGTATTGTGCAGTCAGTATTGTGTAGTATTGTGTAGTCAGTATTGTGTTGTCAGTATTGTGTAGTCAGTATTGTGTAGTCAGTATTGTGTAGTATTGTGTAGTCAGTATTGTGTAGTCAGTATTGTGTAGTCAGTATTGTGTAGTATTGTGTAGTATTGTGTAGTCAGTATTGTGTAGTCAGTATTGTGTAGTATTGTGTAGTCAGTATTGTGTAGTCAGTATTGTGTAGTCAGTATTGTGTAGTATTGTGTAGTATTGTGTAGTCAGTATTGTGTAGTCAGTATTGTGTAGTCAGTATTGTGTAGTATTGTGTAGTCAGTATTGTGTAGTCAGTATTGTGTAGTATTGTGTAGTCAGTATTGTGTAGTCAGTATTGTGTAGTCAGTATTGTGTAGTATTGTGTAGTAAGTATTGTGTAGTCAGTATTGTGCGGGGCAATGGTGCAGATGACCCCAGTTCAAATCCCCAAAGGTTTTTCTTGAACTTGGAATAGTGTGGGAAGTTTTAATGGCTCTCGGTCCACTGAGACCTGTCTTATCACAGACGGAGACTTCACATCTGTCTTATCACAGACGGAGACTTCACATCTGTCTTATCACAGACGGAGACTTCACATCTGTCTGATCAGAGATGGAGATCAGACACAGAGTTTTCCCACGTAGGGGTGCCTGATGAAACAACAACGGTACATACAACATCAAAACTGTGGCCACTAGAGAGCTGAACTCCCGGGAATGGGTACGAGAAAGAAAGAGAATAAAGATTGCACAAAAAGGAAAAACAACAAAAAGATACCTGATTCCTTTAGGTAGTTTATTGACCTGCATGCCCAACACATCCGTTTTCTTGGACGTAAAACGGCTCAGTGAATGCCCCTGGGATCCATGGTCAACTGGCCAGGTAGAGGAGAGACGGAAAAATTCTGTGACTCATGGATGTACAAGACATTATTTTGTGAAGTAAAGAAAACAGGAAATACATTATGTGAAGGAAAGAACAGACACAGGAAATACATTAGGTGAAGAACACAGGAAACAAAAGAGGAGTCGGGAGGAAAGAGGGTGTTACAATATCCAAACCACAAAGATGTATCTTGTTGAAAAGCTTGTCGACTTATAACTTAATCTGTGTTCCACAGACGGTTTATGCTTTTTCTTTGATTTCCCTCAACTAACAAAAATGATCAACCAAACAAAAGAAATGATCAAGTAATGAATCTACCAGCTTGCAAAGCTGACATATCCTCCCAACTTCCATTCTGTAACCACGCCCATTTTGTACGAGGCACCCCTCCGCTAGCGTCAACAAAACACAACATAGGTAACCCAACAAAGCCGCACATTTGGTTGATAGCTCATAATATATTTATAAACACCTGTAAAATGAACAAACAAAACATACCATAAAAAAAGAACAAACAAAACATACCATAAAAAAAGAACAAACAAAACATACCATAAAAAAATCAAACTGTCCTTGCAAAGAGCACAAAATGACCCACGGAAAAGAGGCCGGACAAAACACTGGCACAGCACGTGTGTGATACTGCGGCACAGGAAACAACCGACGTAGAAAAGAGGCCGGACAAAACACTGGCACAGCACGTGTGTGATACTGCGGCACAGGAAACAACCGACGTATTATCGAAACAAACAGCAATATCAAACCTCTATTCTATTGTCCATATTTACTTGATTTGGAATTCCAGAAACTTCCACAACAACAACAGCAACAACAAGCAACATATTTCCACTTCATGATTTGAAAGAACAGTGGTGCTGGAAGAGGTTCGAGCCGTGCACAGATAAATCAGGAGTAACAAAATGATATCTTCACAACAGTACGTTCCAATTCACAAGACTGTCTCAAGGTTTAACAGTCGATGTCAATCAAATGTTGCTTGCAAGGTGGGGACGGAACCAGCAGGTTGACACATATATCTGTGACTGAACACACAAATGTCTACAGTTATCACCGTTCTGTTATATATCTGTGACTGAACACACAAATGTCTACAGTTATCACCGTTCTGTTATATATCTGCGACTGAACACATAAATGTCTACAGTTATCACCGTTCTGTTATATATCTGTGACTGAACACACAAATGTCTACAGTTATCACCGTTCTGTTATATATCTGTGACTGAACACACAAATGTCTACAGTTATCACCGTTCTGTTATATATCTGTGACTGAACACACAAATGTCTACAGTTATCACCGTTCTGTTATATATCTGTGACTGAACACACAAACGTCTACAGTTATCACCGTTCTGTTATATATCTGTGACTGAACACACAAACGTCTACAGTTATCACCGTTCTGTTATATATCTGTGACTGAACACACAAACGTCTACAGTTATCACCGTTCTGTTATATATCTGTGACTGAACACACAAACGTCTACAGTTATCACCGTTCTGTTATATATCTGTGACTGAACACACAAACGTCTACAGTTATCACCGTTCTGTTATATATCTGTGACTGAACACACAAATGTCTACAGTTATCACCGTTCTGTTATATATCTGTGACTGAACACACAAATGTCTACAGTTATCACCGTTCTGTTATATATCTGTGACTGAACACACAAATGTCTACAGTTATCACCGTTCTGTTATATATCTGTGACTGAACACACAAATGTCTACAGTTATCACTGTTCTGTTATATATCTGTGACTGAACACACAAATGTCTACAGTTATCACCGTTCTGTTATATCTGTGACTGAACACACAAAGGTCTACGCTGACTTTACTCCAACTTCCAGATAGCTTTCCCTTCATCTCTCACTGTCTACTGATTCTACTCATCTCTCCCTATCTACTCATCTCTCACTATCTACTCATCTCTCACTATCTACTGATTCTACTCATCTCTCACTATCTACTCATCTCTCACTATCTACTGATTCTACTCATCTCTCACTATCTACTCATCTCTCACTATCTACTCATCTCTCACTATCTACTCATCTCTCACTATCTACTGATTCTACTCATCTTTCACTATCTACTCATCTCTCACTATCTACTCATCTCTCACTATCTACTGATTCTACTCATCTCTCACTATCTACTGATTCTACTCATCTCTCACTATCTACTCACCTCTCACTATCTACTGATTCTACTCGATCGCTTTCTTTGATACCCAACTGCCTCGTTTCCTGAGGACACACCCACTGACTTCTTCCCACTTCATCTGTAACTGGGCTCCGTCTTGTTCTTTTTTATACCTCCTCCTTGTTGACGTTGTCTGTCTGTCGGATTCTGACTAAATTTCTCGGTACTTGTTGATGAGACTGGCATTGATTGACAGGACAGACCATGAGCTGGCCTTTATGCTAGAGCCCAGACAGACAGACCATGAGCTGGCCTTTATGCTACTGATAGACCCAGACAGACAGACCATGAGCTGGCCTTTATGCTACTGATAGACCCAGACAGACAGACCATGAGCTGGCCTTTATGCTAGAGCCCAGACAGACAGACCATGAGCTGGCCTTTATGCTAATGATAGACCCAGACAGTCAGACCATGAGCTGGCCTTTATGCTACTGATAGACCCAGACAGTCAGACCATGAGCTGGCCTTTATGCTAGAACCCAGACAGACAGACCATGAGCTGGCCTTTATGCTAGAACCCAGACAGTCCCCAACCAAAGATGAAAAAGCCGCACCTAGAGGTCTGTCATGAGCGGGAACCACCTCGGTAATCCTGACCATGTGGTCGGCACGGGGTGGGGACTTGAGGGGAGGTAAGTGTGACCGTCGCGGGGCCAAACCCAGGAGATCGGAGACAGAGTTGCCCTCCGGTAAGCTCCCCTTCTCACTCAGCTCTTTCTGGATGTGAAACAAAAAGAAGAAAAAAAAAAGAACAATCACATTGTTGTCAAAGGAATAGTTTCATGATAACGGACAGAATAGTGTTCAAAGTTCTTTCTTTGATACAGCCACACTTGTCCTACACAATCACCTGAGCAAACAACCACCTCCGACTTCCCTTCTTTATTAAAAATATATATATATATGTATATAATACCAGCAGTGTCGGAGAGGAGCATCTGTCTAGGACAACGACTAGAATATCATCCACTTTTCTCCTCAATAACGGGGGCTTGCCTTGGACAGGACTGACTGTTCTTTTTAATCAATAAATTTGATTCTCCACTTTTCCTCAGTTCACAAAGTTGCAAACGAATACTCAGCACTAGGCACTGCAAGTAAACACAGAATATATGTCACTGGAATGACTGGTAGGTAAATACAGAATATGTCACTGGTAGGTAAATACAGAATATGTCACTGGAATGACTGATAGGTAAATACAGAATATGTCACTGGTAGGTAAATACAGAATATGTCACTGGAATGACTGGTAGGTAAATACAGAATATGTCACTGGAATGACTGGTAGGTAAATACAGAATATGTCACTGGTAGGTAAATACAGAATATGTCACCGGTAGGTAAATACAGAATATGTCACTGGAATGACTGGTAGGTAAATACAGAATATGTCACTGGTAGGTAAATACAGAATATGTCACAGGTAGGTAAATACAGAATATGTCACTGGTAGGTAAATACAGAATATGTCACTGGAATGACTGGTAGGTAAATACAGAATATGTCACTGGTAGGTAAATACAGAATATGTCACTGGAATGACTGGTAGGTAAATACAGAATATGTCACTGGTAGGTAAATACAGAATATGTCACTGGTAGGTAAATACAGAATATGTCACTGGTAGGTAAATACAGAATATGTCACTGGAATGACTGGTAGGTAAATACAGAATATGTCACTGGTAGGTAAATACAGAATATGTCACTGGTAGGTAAATACAGAATATGTCACTGGTAGGTAAATACAGAATATGTCACTGGTAGGTAAATACAGAATATGTCACTGGTAGGTAAATACAGAATATGTCACTGGAATGATTGGAAGGTAAACAGAATATGTCACTGGTAGGTAAATACAGAATATGTCACTGGTAGGTAAATACAGAATATGTCACTGGTAGGTAAATACAGAATATGTCACTGGAATGACTGGTAGGTAAATACAGAATATGTCACTGGTAGGTAAATACAGAATAAGTCACTGGAATGACTGGTAGGTAAATACAGAATATGTCACTGGTAGGTAGATACAGAATATGTCACTGGAATGACTGCTAGGTAAATACAGAATATGTCACTGGTAGGTAAATACAGAATATGTCACTGGTAGGTAAATACAGAATATGTCACTGGTAGGTAAATACAGAATATGTCACTGGAATGATTGGAAGGTAAACAGAATATGTCACTGGTAGGTAAATACAGAATATGTCACTGGAATGACTGGAAGGTAAATACAGAATATGTCACTGATAGGTAAATACAGAATATGTCACTGATAGGTAAATACAGAATATGTCACTGGTAGGTAAATACAGAATATGTCACTGGAATGACTGGAAGGTAAATACAGAATATGTCACTGATAGGTAAATACAGAATATGTCACTGGAATGATTGGAAGGTAAATACAGAATATGTCACTGGAATGACTGGAAGGTAAATACAGAATATGTCACTGGCAGCAATCAATGCCTGCAGCATGCTGCAACACAAAGAAAACGATGAGGGGCAGAGATTTGAGAGAATAAATCTGAATCCACATAAAGAACAGTGTGAGAATCACCTTCCAAATAATGACCTAGCTTCAAATCCAAACAAAATCAAAAGTCTTAAACTTAAAGTATTTAAAGTACCGGTACGGCATTTTCCAGGTCAATGTCCGACAGAGACAATACATATTGTACTGAACTAACGCGCAAACAAAACAGCCTCAACTAACGCGCAAACAAAACAGCCTCAACTAACGCACAAACAAAACAGCCTCAACTAACGCACAAACAAAACAGCCTCAACAAATGCACACAAAAAACCCAGCTTCAACAAATGCACAAACAAAACAGCTTCAACAAATGAGCCAATAGACGAGCCAACAGCCTCAACAAACGCACTAATAAAACAGCCTCAACAAACGCACTAATAAAACAGCCTCAACAAACGAGCAAAACAAAACAGCTTTAACAAACGATCATCATCATCATCATCAATGCCTTTCACCCCTGGCAGGGTATAGGCCACATACAAGCTCCTTCCATTTATCTCTGTCCTAGGCCATCCTTCCACCCCTGGCAGGGTATAGGCCACATACAAGCTCCATCCATTTATCTCTGTCCTGGGCCATCCTTCCACCCCTGGCAGGGTATAGGCCACATACAAGCTCCTTCCATTTATCTCTGTCCTGAGCCATCCTTCCAAGCTCGTTCCAAGTGAGCTTCATTTCTCTCATGTCCCTTTCCACACATCTCCTCCATGTTTCCCGTGGCCTACCCCTGCCTCGTGCTCCCTGTGGGTTCCACTGCAGTGACTGTCTTGTGATGTTTCCGCTGGGCTTTCTTAAGGTGTGTCCCATCCATCGCCACTTTCTTAGTCCTATTTCTACTTCTATATCCTTTTGTCCTGTCCTTTCCCAAAGTTCTTCATTTCTTATTCGATCCTGCCACTTAATTCTTAGGATACTCCTCATACATCTGTTGATGAAAGTCTGGACTTTATTCAGTACTGTTTTCGTTGTCTTCCAAGTTTCGCAGCCGTAGAGGAGCACAGACTTGACGTTGGAGTTAAAGAGTCGAATCTTGGTGCGCAGCGAGATGTTGCTTGCTTTCCAGACTATTGATAATTGCTTGAAGGCTGACCTTGCCTTGGCGGTTCTTGCTTTAACGTCTGCCTCCGTTCCACCTTTACCATCGATGACACTTCCAAGGTAGGTAAAGGAGTCCACTTCTTCCAGGGGAGTGTCTTCCACTGTCACAGCAAGGTTTGAAACCTTTCCTAGCTTCACTACTTTTGACTTGCCTGGATGTATACGTAGGCCAACACTCCTTGATACCCTGTTGAGTTCCGTGGTCTTTTCTTGCATCTGAGCATGTGTGTGAGAGAGCAGTGCAAGGTCATCGGCGAAGTCCAAGTCGTCCAGCTGCTGCCAAGGGATCCATTGTATTCCATTACGTTTGCCTTTGGTGGCTTCTTTCATGACCCAGTCAATTGCCAGTATGAAGAGGAAAGGTGAGAGCAAGCATCCTTGTCGCTCTCCTGTCTGTACCTAGAGTGGTTCTGAGAGTTGTCCTTCGTGGAAGACTTGGCAGTTTGTTCCATCATAGGTGGTCAACAAACGAGCCACTCAACAAACAAGCCACTCATCAAACGAGCCACTCAACAAACGAGCCACTCAACAAACGAGGCAACAGCCTCAACAAACGAGCCACTCAACAAACGAGCCACTCATCAAACGAGCCACTCAACAAACGAGGCAACAGCCTCAACAAACGACAACAAACGAGCCACTCAACAAACGAGCCAAACCTCAACAAACACACAAACAAAACAGCCTCAACAAACGAGCCACTCAACAAACGAGCCACTCAACAAACGACAACAAACGAGCCACTCAACAAACGAGCCAAACCTCAACAAACACACAAACAAAACAGCCTCAACAAACGAGCCACTCAACAAACGACAACAAACGAGCCAAACCTCAACAAACACACTAACGAAACAGCCTCAACAAACGAGCCCAGCGACTCACCATCTCCACGTGTTTGCCTTGCTTCACGTTGGCCTCCGTGTCCCCCGCAGACAAATCAACCCGAGCATTTGTCTCCCCTTGGACCGACGCTCCACTCATGGCTGTTGTTGTGGAAGACACACTCACTTGCTGTCCATGATTTCGTCTGATTCCACCCTGAACCATGAACATTGAACATTGGACTCAGTAAGTCAGGAAACAGTTACAACAATTTTTCGTCTAGCTGTCATAAGTATGACTTGCTGCTTCCTTTCTTGAAAATACTTTATGTAATTGATTTGCGACCGTTTCTATAGATCCAGTGGTGCATGCGTGATCTGCAGCAAAAAAAAAAAAAACGGTACTGCAGTTTGACCCCCCAAAGCAGTGCATCTGTTTGCGGGGGTCTCAGTAAAAATTTACCCATTGAAAGGATTTTAATTTTTGAATCTTTGCCACATGTTGTAGGCTACTTCAACAAAGGGTAGGGAAATTGGGTCAACATGCCGTTGTTGTTTTTTTACTCCAAACTTTGTGTTTTCCATCCTGTGTAACAAAAAGTGGTGAATCTATCATATCTTTCAAACTACTCAAGATATTTCCAAATTTTACAAATCAGCATGTTCAGCATTTAATTTGCTACAAGAATATAATGCCCTTATTTCAACATCCAAAATTTCCGACAACTCGAACTCTGGGGCCTTTCTTGTCTAGATCTATAGATAGGCTCCAGGCGCAGATGTGCTGTGCCAGTATCATTTCCACAGCAAGGAATAGACATATATAATATTTCAACTCCTACCAGTTAAACGGGCACTCCTGTACAATTGCGGTTCCGTTTGTTTACAGCTGAGTCTATGCGCACACAATTGCAAGCACATAAATTCAAATGTTGCTATAAATAGCACGCAGTAGCATGCAAGGCATCAGTTTGCTATAAGCTCGCAACTGTAGAGACGTAGACACGTTGAGTCTTTACGCAGCGTCATGTTCAGACTGTTGTACCCAACAGGAAGAAGCGACATATTGAATCTACAAGAAAGGGTACTGTTGAGTGATTTGAAGGAAAGCCACCCAGAGTTACGTTCTATTATGTTGCAATGTAACCTCAAGTTTTCTGTTTTTCTCAGGCAGTTTTCAGCTGAAAATCTGGGGAATCCAAAAAGTCTGAAAATAGAACAGTTGTAGAGGCTGCGTGGAGGTTTCTGAACTACTTATCTCAAGAATAAGGTACAAGAGAGAAAACTCGGGGGATTTATCAATTCTTAGATCCTCTCGCCTAAGCACGTTTAGGCGTGCGACAGAATTAAAGGGGAAACAAAATTCGGGAGGACTTCCGTAATGAGCGACCACGATGAGACAGAGTAGAATAGAGGGGTAGGGTTAAGGGTAGGGGTAGGGTTGGGGATAGGGTTATGGTTAGTATTAGGGGTAGAGGCAGGGTTAGGGTTAGTATTGGGGGTAGAGGCAGGGTTAGGGTTAGGTCCCTTCTTTATTGTACTGTTTGTTGGGGTGGTCGCTCGTTACGGAAGTTCCTTCCCATAATTCTGAGGGGCAAACTTAAGGAAGAGGGAAATTAACAGAATTGCATGCATAGCAAAGTACAATATCTTGCACATAATTGTGTACGTTTAAATAAGCAAAAAAATGTGTTGTTTACATGACAGCCATGGTGGAAGTGAATCTAATTTCTAGATAGCCTAGAGCCTACTAGATATTAGAACTATAGAAGAATATAATTTATCTCTAGATCTACATATAGATCTAGAATCTAGATCTAGATCAGCTATAATCTAGATTTAGATCTAGATCTAGATCTAGATCAGATATAATTTTACGAATTCAGTTTAGATCTAAATATGAAACACACCACAGGGGCACTAAGTGTAACTAAGATCGAGAACTGGATGACCTAGATCTAGATCTTACCACGATTTCATCCTGTCTGGGCTTATTGTCTAACATTTTAAATTATATTGCAACATTTTAGGCAGACCGAAATTCCTCTTTCGTAACCTGACAGTGACAGTACAAGTACTGTACACGAGAAAAAAAGAGTCCCACAGCAACCACAGCCTAGATCTAGATTCTAGAACTAGATTCTAGATCTAGATCTAGATCTATGTCCCAGCAATGTTCTAGAAGATAGATCTAGACTCTATGTCCCAGCAATGTAGATCTAGATCTAGATCTAGTAGATATGCAGATCTATGTCCCAGCAACGTAAGAAGTCAAGTAGATAGGCCTATAATGAAGATCTCTAGATCTAGCCTAGTCATGTGTTTGGAGCACGGGCCACAAGAATGACAACAAACATCTCTGACCTTCACCTTGAGTGGGGAGAACGGGAAAACCCCTTTTATCGACTCGACTACACAGAGAGGTCCTTTTCCCAGAATCGATTCTCAAAAGTAGAGCAAACTATCCGCACGTAGCCACGCAGAAGTGAAGGCGACTGGTCGGTGCTCAGGTGCGATTTGGCCTAATGGGTTCAGTATAGCATCATCATCATTATCCAGTGCCTTGCCGACTGGCGTGGGCGATCATGGACCTCCACTTCACTCTGTCTTGCGCTGCAGCAATGGTGTCTGTTGTTCTTGCTGCTCCTAGCCACGTTGTCATCTTGTCCAGTATCTTTTCCCTCTGTCTGCCTCTGCCTCTCTTTCCATCAAACTTGCCTGTTGTAACAATATTCTCTAATGCTTCTTTCCGCATTGTGTGTCCGAAGAAATTTACCTGTCGCTTTCTTATATTCGTCATAAGTTGTCTTCTATAATTTGTTTGAACCAAGACTTCTTCATCTGTTTTTCTAGCTCTCCATGGGATACGCAGCATGCGTCTTATGAACCACAACTCTGTCGCTACAATTGTTCTTTCCAGATGTTTATAGATTGTCCATGCTTCGCACCCGTATATATCTAATAGGATTGGCTCGATGTAACTTCTCGGTATTCTTTTTCTCGTTTCCAGTGACAGATTGATGTTTGTTAGTACGGTATCTATCTGTTTCATCTTGTGGAAGGTTGCTTTTGCTTGGCAAATGCGGCTTTTAATTTCGGTGTGACATCTCCCATCTGATGATAATATAATGGTCTCCAAATATTTAAAATGTTGTGCTTGCTTGAGGGTGATATCATTGATTTTGATATTGCATGTTGGGGATGGAGTTTTTCTGCTTATCACCATTGTTTCGGTTTTCTTGATGTTTAGGCTTAAGCCCACGTTGTCACTCTCTTGTACAAAGACATTTAATAGATTCTGTAGGTGTTCTTCATCCTCTGCTATTAGGACTGTGTCATCTGCATATCTTAGATTGTTTATATTATGTCCCCCTATCGAGATACCAGGCATTTCTTCTAGGTGTTTCATGATATTTTCACTATACAGGGAGAACAAGTCTGGAGAAAGTACACATCCTTGTCTGACTCCTCTTTTCATCTGTCTGTATGTATTCGCGGATGTCGTTTTCTATTCTCATTGCAGCAGTTTGACCCCAGTACATGTTCTTGATAATCCGTCTTTCCCATCGATATTGAGGACTTCCAGCATGTCGATGATCTGGTCGTGCCTAACTTTGTCGAATGCCTTGGTGTAGTCTATAAAACATAAATGAAGATCTTTCTGAACTTCTAGAGCACGTTCTATTGTTGTTCTGATGACATATATGGCATTTACAGTGCTTTTGCCTTCAATAAATCCACATTGTTCTTGGGCTATTTCTGGGAGAATTTTATTTCGTATTCTCATCATAATTATTCTGAGTAGTGTTTTTGTTACAGTGGAATCCTGTTATAACGAGAGGGAGGAGACCGGAGCAAAATGTCCGTTATAGCAGGATTCTCGCTATAACTATAAGGGATCCAGTAATAAATTCAAGGGAAACTGTAAAGTAGGCCTAATCTATGAGTTTGGTGTTCTGTTTATTTCCTTTTGCTATCTCCCCTGGTGATGATTTTGTTTCAACATGACCTCTAGGTCTTACTTGATCAAAAATCAAATCAGGTTTCTTTCTATAGCGCTAGATCTAGCGATGTGGACTGACAGCTCGGTGTTGGCGATCAGAAAGAAAGGGCTCTCGGCTAACTCGCCCTATGTGTTTTTCCCCACCCCACCACACCCTGTGGTGCATTCCGTCTGCTCGCGCACGTCACACATTCGCTCCGTCCATCATATTGCTGTGACCTCTCCATCCCCGCATCGGAGAAGTGAGAGGCATGGTAGCCCTTGATCATATAAACTGGGCTTACGCTGGCATATCACATGATGCGTTCTGTTTGTCTGCGCATGCCACACCCTCCCTGCTCAGTTGCTCTGGCCTTCATTATTGACGCATATGGGCTCTCCTATTCTTTGTTTCGCAAGATCACCAACAAATTTCTCGACTGGCGAGGTTTTACGTTATGTATAACTGGTCTATGCACTGTGCACAGCAGCAGCTATATTCCGCTATAACCGACTCTCATGTTTGTCTGATAGCGCTATAGCAGTATTTTATTTACAAAGGTAAAGAGGAGAAAAAAACGGGGTTTTAGAGTAGTGTCTTTATGACAGACTTCTCGTTTTTTCCGGACTCGTTATAAGTGGACTCCACTGTACATGGCTCATGAGGCTGATGGTACGATGCGTTTCACATTCGTTTGCATTAAGGTTCTTTGGTAAAGCTACGAAGATAGATTTTGACAAGTCAGATTCAGATGGAATATGTCCAGTGGCATACATGTTGTTAAGAAGTTTTGTCAGCGTGGTGATCCAAAGTCTTCTCAAGTTTTAATCATCTCTGTGGTAATTGGCCACTTGTTTCCTTTAGCTTGTCCACGGGACAATTTTGTTCACGGAAGGATAGGCGGGTGTGGGCGAACGAAATCCTGTTTTACTGTTACCGTGAGCAAGAGTTTTGCGGCACATGCAACACAATAAGGTAACACAAAAGTGCAGAAAATTAGAAGTGTTACAAGCGAGTAAACGAGCACACTCAAAAAGCATGGGTCTCAACTCAGAATTCTAAAAAAGGAGGAACGTTCCGGGTGACCGCTACAGAAGCCCATCTTGGCGAAGCACCCATTAGTGTTCTACTGTTGAACCCTAGAATGCTGAAATAAAAACCATCAACTTATCAAAGCAAGGTTATTTCACACCAATTTGAGGGTCTGAGAGATAATTTCAAGTAAGAGTCACATACCAAATATTTACAATCTTGATTACGTACAGAAAGTGGTGGCGCCTGGGGTCTTGTGCGACTTATTTATATTTTCCCTTCATCATATTCGCCTGTATATATAAACTATATAAAAAGGAATATTGTTTTGAGCCTAGAACCAGAATATCGACTGTCATGATTAATATCATGGGAGTGCTTATTTAGGCCACATATGGCCTAAATAAGGTAAGGGAGGGGGGTTTAGCTTATTTAGGCCACAGTGGACTGTGGCCTAAATAAGGTAAGGGAGGGGGGTTTAGCTTATTTAGGCCACACATGCTCAAACTACCCTTTTCAGGCAACTGAGTTCATTCCACTTTCATAATGGTGCACCTTTCTCATTTAGTATGGTTTTGCCTCAGTGTACAACTTATAAATCATAACTATAATGAATATTGTAAAGAACAAAGCACAATACGCAAAATTTTGCTCAATTCCAACGGTTTGAATGAGGGCCGGATTTTTCCTTCATGGAGGGGCAAAAGCTAGGCTACCATTTTGGCACACTTTGGTCAAGTGAAAAGGTCAAATCCTCCGAATGGACTTCCGGGTTAAATTTGGGGTATAAAAAGTGTGTTTACTACGTGGCTGAGTCAAAGTTACACTATCTTTGCCTGAGTGACACTCTCTCGTACTGTCTCGTAGTAGTACATGCAGTAATAGTAGTAGTAGCAGAGATCGTGTAGAGAATATTTGGTAGTAGATTCTATCTAGTAGGCAGTTTAGTGAACGTGCTCGCGGCAGGGCGAATCGGCCTCGATAAGCCCCGTAGACTTTTGTGATCGGCCACGAAGCCTCGTGTTTTGATGGGTCTAGATCTAGATCTAGATCTAAACAACTCAGTGCTATTTGCACTGCCACATCCGACAGGCCTAGATCTGCATCTTTTTAAAAGGAAAAGAAAGACCATCAAAATGGTTGAATTCGCGTGAAAATCGATTAGGTAAAACTAGAACTATCAAAATTTGCATCTGAAAACAAGGCAATTTTTATACGAAGGCCATTTTTATAACTCGATGAAATAAAAACTACTGACTGTGTACTGTGTTATTCTGTATAAAAATAAATTATGAAACTTCAGGACGTAGATCTATTATTATTTACCAGCATCTTTTGACGCCTGAGCTGTAGAGGTTGAAGTTTTCACAACACTAATAGATTTAGTAATAGGGTTAGGTAATACGGCTTTCCGTAAAAAAATGCATAAATCTACAAAAGCCGACCACCGAATCGACCAGGCGCCTCGGTCTCCCCTGCACTCTGATTCAATTTTTTTTTAAAAATGCTAATCAATGAAAATTGCAAATTGATAATAATAGTATAGTCCTGTAGAGGATAGGTGGACTCCGGGGTCTGCATAGCGAAATACTAGGTTTTAGGAATTGGACCCTGGAGTCACCGTAGTGAAATAAGGTGTGGTTTAAGTAAGGATTGGTACTAGGTTTTAGGACAGGTGGACCCTGGGGTCACCGCAGTGAAATAAGTAGGTTTCTTTAAAGATTAGTGGAACCTGGAGTCACCATAGCCATAGAGGATTAAGAAGGTTTAATTAAGGATTGGTGGACCCCCGGGACACCTTGATTAAACCTACTTATTTTACTACGGTGACCGCAGGATCCACCTATTCTAAAACCTAACTAGTGTTTCGTTAGGTAGACCCTGGGGTCCACCTTAAACCTACCTATTTCACTACGTTGACTCCAGGATCCACCAATCCTTAAAATTAAACCTATATCTATCTACATATACCTATTTCACTACATTGACCCCAGGGTCCACCAATCCTTAATTAAACCTAGATCTACTGATTTCACTACATTGACCCTGTGGTCCTCCAATCCTTAATTAAACCTATATCTACTTATAATTTCACTACTTTGACCACGGCTCCGCCAGTCCTATTATAAAATAAACTTAGATCTACTTATTTCATTATGTTGACCCCGGGGTCCACCGATCCTTCTTTAAACCTAGATCTACTTATTTCACTACGCTGACTCCTGGGTTCACATCCTAAAACCTAACATTTTGTTAGGTAGACCCAGGGGTCCACCTATCCTTTTGGCTAGATAGACCCCGTAGTCCGCCTATCCACTTTCTTGATAATAACTGAAAACAATACATGCCAGTTGTCATTTATAGTGAAGAAAAATGAGGGGGAAAAAATATAATTAGGTAGACTTTAATTTGTCAAAAAAATTGCAAGTTCAAGTGAAGATCATAAAATAATTTTGTTATTTTGTGATCACCTTTCCAAGGACCTTAAATTGATTCTACATCACATGTCATGTACGATACGGCTGTGAAGGAAAATGGATGTGAAGAGTTTTAAAGAAATAATAATGTAACTTGTAAAGAAAACAATGCTTTACATTGGTTTGGTTATTTTGACTACATATGTGGCCTAAATAAGGTAAGGGAGGGGGGTTTAGCTTATTCAGGCCACAGGTGTGGCCTAAATAAGGTAAGGGAGGGGGGTTTAGCTTATTTAGGCCATATGTGGCCTAAATAAGGTCACCCTAATATCATATATATATAGGGCCTATATATATATATATATAGGCCTATATATTGTGAAAGACAAAAATGAATGCTCAAACTCAAAGTACAGTAAAATAGCCCAAGTAGACCTAGTCAGTGTGAGAGGTGGAAGAACTGTGGGAGGGCAAGATGCAGTGATACTGAACATCTGCGAATCTTGAAAGAAAGCTAAAATATAGAGATCTAATTGACTGTCACCAATCCAACGAAACGCGAACACTTAGGCCCCTAAGTTCAATAACACGCTTACAAGTCATGACGGTTCCCGATTTCACACAAGGCCTGCACCAACGCACACTTTACTTTGCAGAGAGCTGTTGATCTACATCTAGTAGTAATCAAAATTCTAAACATTTGCTTCCACTTTCAGTTTGTTTGTCCTCTGGTGTTGCGTCCAGCCCTCCCCCATCCCAGAGTGCGTCTTTTTAAAAAATAAATAATCCCCCCATTCCTGAGTCCTGTACTTCGAAGCGCTCAGAACACGCACAGGTTCATTGACCGGTCACAATGACGAGCCCGAAAAACGCTTGTATAATTTTCTTTTCATTTTGATGTTACCCCCACAAGTGACAGCTCAGTGACAAATATTGATATATTTTCATGGCGACACCACGTTTGTAATGCCGAACCTGCATGTTACAATAAATTTTGCGTTATCAGACAATTACTGACAAACTTCTGGGTGGTGACGAAAGCGAAAGTAGATCTTGATTTTCCAGTCGAACCTCGGTGACACAATTCCGCTTGCCGCCGAAGCCGCCAGTTCGCGTGAAACATACTCTCAGAGCCGAATTAATATCACAATCGCGATTGGCAGAAATGAACTTAAAGACGTTATTGGATTTGGTTTTCAAATATTCGAGATCTTTTACGTATTTTCCCGGGTCTCGGCGATTTTTTAAAAAATTCCCGGGGCCTGGCAGTCACCCTGCTCCCAACAACTCTCTTTCTGATTGGCCCCCTGTCGCGGTAGCGGAGTTT